CTTGGCTCTGGCAACTTAATCTTGGTCCTGACAACAAATTATTAGTTACCTCAACAATTTTTTGATCGATTGTCACGAAATTAACTAATATTTAGTTGTGACGACCAATTCATTTTTTTCCGTGTACCTCCCAGGAGCGTGCGCCGAGCGTGCACCGGGCGTGCGCCGAGCGTGCGCCGAGCGTGCGCCGAGCGTGGATCTTAAATGAATATGGCTTATGGTCTCGGCCGTTGACGACCAATCAAAGCTACGGCGCTCCGAGGCTAGACTATTTGTCGCTGCTTATTTATAACAGAAAAGAATTGTAAAAATGTTAACTTGTATTTTACAGACAACTTACGAGGTCAGAGACGCTCCGGTAAACTGGAATTATCCAAAAGTTCCAATCATGCCTTATGGATCCTATAGGCAAACAATTACTTTTGGCAAGAAGGACATACTCTACACACACATGCTTAGTAGTAGAGTTGAAGATAATACCTAGATAGCACTGCTGTGGCCAATGTAATTCTATTGCCACTCTCACTACACTGTAAGGCCGAAAGGTAGAAATGTTGTCGGCCTCGGAGTTTGGGCAGTTTGGCGCTCTGTATCCAGTTTTTTTTTTTTTTTTTTTTTTTTTTTGCGGCTTCCTGATCTGGGCGACGAAAGTATTTTGCAGTATGGAGACATTTTTAGCGACGGCGGCGGGCACTGCGCGCACGGACAGTCCCTGAATGCTTGAATGCTCCAACGTAACGTCTAGATTGAGTTTCCAACGTGGTTCAGAGAAAACCAGGCCAACACTTACCTACACGCGAGGCCATAACGAATGGGTTCTATCCCCCTACGCTGTTAACGAGTTAGCGTGCAACTTCCACAACCGGCGGCGGGGAACGCCAACTCGATTGCCCGCAGATCAGGTAAATTTGTTTGTACTGCACGTATTAAGCTCGTAATTAAACAACATTATGGTGCATCTCTGTTCTACGGAGGCCAGTTTTTGCAATCTCCCCGTCGGCCCGTGTTGGATTGGTTCGAGTTGGGGGTGAGGGGGAGGGTGCTTCAAGAGGTGTGACGGACCTGTTGAACCACCTCTCCAAACAAATCTAGTCACAGCAACTCGCAACAGTTTGGTATTCTCTGGCCGGACGTGTTATCGGGTCTTATCACGAGTAAAAGCACTTTCGCGCGGCCCCAGCGCCACTATCGCTCGCCAGCGTCAGGCTAGGCTCTAAGCCGGCACAGGCCACAGCAAGCCCCGCCCTCTCCCTGTGGATCCAAACACGTCACGGCGTCGCAACGTTGACCATAAGAAGAAAGGGGGGCGAAACCGCCCGCCATAGGATACGCAATCACTCGTCAAACCGAGAATGCAGAGGAAAATTTCGAGCTGGTTGACGTCGTCGCTTAACCATGGGGATAGTTCCAAGTGCCATGTGGTGATGGTGAGTGATTACTGTGCAACGCGCTGTGCACTTTAGAGCGTCGAGTGCGAAGTGACACATAATGTGTTTCGCAGCGTTTCCGCTATGGAATATTAACACGTTCCTTTCGGCATGACCACTATGTGGCCACGCTCCCACGTTCAATAATAAGCACCCTTAAGACATCGATAGGAAAATTCCCCTTAATGATTTTTTTTTTGTTTTTGTTTATTTCGGGGTTTTCAGAACGATTCTAAACCACCAAGATACACGGTGCTGGCACCAGCGACGGTGCGCCCAAACTCCGAGTATGCCGTAGTCGTCATCGTGGAGGCCTGCGAGGTGGACACGGCGGTGCGACTGAAGCTAGCGTGGAGCGGCAACGAGTGCCTCCAGGAGGTCCTGGTGCCGCCGAACAGCTCGCGGACCGCGCGCCTGCAGGTCAGCACAGCCACAGCACAGGACTGCCGTGAAGGTCTCGAGTGAACGGTGGCGAAGTGGTATGTCAACGTCAACGCCGCGTGTTCCTCCTGCAGGTGGGCGAACTTGGCGGCGACAAAGTCACCCTGTCTGCAGACGGCAGGAGCGGCAGTGCTCGATGGCACGACTCCACGACGGTGCGGGTCCACGCCAAGAGCGCGTCGCTCTTGATCCAGACGGACAAGGCCCAGTACAAGCCCGGCCAGGAGGTGCGGGTCCGGGTGCTGGCCCTCGACGCCCGGCTCAGGCCGACCGTACGCGAGCCACTGCAGGTCCACGTCACGGTAGGTCGCGGTCTCAGGACGCCGCCGAGGTGTTGTTGTCGCTTGGCTCTGACGCGGTCCTCCTGTGGTCCCCAGGACGGCGCCGGCAACCGCATCAAGCAGTGGGTGGAGCAGCCCGCGCGGCACGGCCTGTGGTCCGCCGTGCTGCAGCTCTCGGAGCAGCCCGTGCTGGGCGACTGGACCGTGACGGCGTCCCTGCCGTCCCTCCCCGGGGTCCCGGCCGTCAGCAAGAGGTTCGCCGTTGCCGAGTACGTGCTCCCGACCTTCGAGGTGTCCGTCAG